TCCCTCGCCCTCCCCCCCCCCATTGAGAGAGGAGCTAAAAGAGGTCTACGTACAGCTCCGAAGCTCACCATGGGAGACCGGCCATAGGCGGCAGCAGCGGCGGCGGCCATCTGGGGCGGGATGCTGTGGAGACCCGTGTAGGCCCCGGGGCTGGCGAGGGAGCCGTTCATCTCGTGATGCCCCATCATGGCAAACGGGGTGGCGTAAGAGCCCGCGATTGAGATGGGCGTCCTCAGGGCAGATGCTGGAAAGAGGGGCAGGAGAGCCGTTTCGTACAACCACCCAGCTGATGGAACAAATCACTCACTTTCTTAATTGGGGGGGGGGGGGCCAGGCAGCCCCTGCCTCCCACCCGCGAGAATTAAGGTCTCCTCAGGTTCGACTTGGGGACAAGAGGGTACAATGCTGCTCAGCCGGAGTCCTCTGAACCCCAGAGCCAGGAGGCAATATCGGGGGAAGGCCTCGGCCTCCCTGCCCTGTTGTTGGCCATCCAGAGGAACTGGATGGCCACTGTGTGAGACAGGATGCTGGCCTAGATGGACCCCTGGTCTGATCCAGCAGGGCTCTTCTGAGGTTCTTATGAAGGCCTCAGCCTCTCTGCCCTGTTGTTGGCCCTCCAGAGGAACTGGCTGGCCACTGTGTGAGACAGGATGCTGGACTAGATGGACCTTCACTGGTCTGACCCAGCAGGGCTCTTCTGGTGTTCTTATCATGGGAAGGCCTCAGCCTCCCTGCCCTGTTGCTGGCCCTCCAGGGGAACTGGCTGGCTACTGTGTGAGACAGGATGCTGGACTAGAGGGACCCTCACTGGTCTGACCCAGCAGGGCTCTTATATTCTCCACAACTCCTTAGCAAAAGAAGGAATGGAGTGCCCTTTGGAGTCTGAAATCACTCTGCCCATTCTCTCACTTCCCTTTGCCTAGAACTAGTAGGGGAACATCCACATTCAGAGGCACTAAACCTCTGAATCACAGAGCCAGTTGATAACATCAGGGGAAGGCCTTGGACTCCATTGCCCTGTTGTTGGCCCTCCAGAGGAACTGGCTGGCCCCTGTGTGAGGCAGGATGCTGGACTAGATGGACCCTCACTGGTCTGACCCAGCAGGGCTCTTCTGAGGTTCTTATCAGGGGGAAGGCCTCAGCCTCTCTGCCCTGTTGTTGGCCGTCCAGAGGAACTGGTTGGCCACGGTGTGAGACGGGATGCTGGACTAGATGGACCCTCATTGGTCTGATCCAGCAGGGCCCTTCTGGCGTTCTTATCAGGGGGAAGGCCTCAGCCTCTCTGCCCTGTTGTTGGCC